CCTGGTCAAAGGAAGAAGCACATTCTTGGGAAAAGTCCACCAACCATATCATGAATGTATAACCTAGGAAGAAACAATATTAAATTCTTTTAAAAAGTAGTGGAATGGATAGAGGAAAGAACCCCAATGTAAGAGAAGATATTATGTCAACATGTCACTATTTGAACACGTGAAAGTAATATTATGTTTGGTGATACAGGGATTGAAAGTATTTTTCCCAACTTCCATCTAAATTCTGAAGTTTGGGTTGCTTCCAGAGAAGGTTCTTCTTGTGCAGTCACTCTGCACAATAAGGGAAGAGGATTCCAATGGCAACACCTTCCGTCCTGACACCATCTCATGCTTTTCCACCAATTCTCCCTCCACTTTTTCTTAGCAGAGGTCAACCATTTAGAACGAAAAGTCGGAATTGCACAGTGCCTTGGATTTGATAGTGTTATGAATGCCCTGTTTGGAAGCGTCATAAATCAGATGTGAATATTTCTGTTCCTTAACTAGGGAGCTGACTCATGGACAAGTCAAATCCAGTTGAAAGCGTTGTGTTTGGCAGTTGGGTGGGGGAGAGGTGGTAGTGGTGAAATTTCTCTTTTTCATGAAAACTCTCTCAGAGATATGAATGAGTCAGCTCAGAGACTGGCCTCCTAGCTTTTCAGAACATGGCAGAATGGTTGTGCCCTTGTTGGGTAAAATTCTTGTTTCAACCTAAAGCCATAAAACTGTAAATAACCATATTAGAGAGAGCAAGATTTTCCAGAATATGGAAGTTGCTGTTAATTTTTGAAACGCTCTCAAAATGCTCTCAATTCAGAATATTTGACAGATTCAGTGCATTACAACATCATTTGAAATAATGGATAGTTATATTCAAAATGAATCACCAGCTAGCTTTCCTATTCTGACTATTTTAGATCCACATAAAGTTGTAAGTTCAAGGTTTTGACCTGAGATGGCATATGTACCATTTATAAAATAATTTTGTAACGTTAATTAGTAACCTAACAAATTGTTCCAATAGGAATAAAAAATTTATTCTTTTATTTTAGGTGATTCATCTTTTTATAAATAAAAGGTTTTATAAATAAACATGGATTTACATGTTTAGGACTTTAAAATTACTTTAAAATAATATGTTACCTATTTTTTAAACTAACATTTATGTTAACATTTTTCTGTCCTGTTGTTCTGTCATTAAAAACCTGAAGCAAGTGTTATTGAATTCTCGGTAGCTCTCAAAATAAAAGCTTTGCTTAAATGCATGCAATAAACCACACCAGCTGAGTCATTATAGAGACAGAGGAGAAAGAATCTGTAACTCTGCTTGCTCATACCAGACAGGGTGAAAAGTGCGTGCAGGCGTTTCGTTTCCCCATGTTGTTTTATTAAAATTTTGCTTCCCAAAGGCAACTGGCATTGATGCTAAGGCTACTTCCCATGGGCTAACACACCCTTTCACCCTTGGGGGTGGGGGGACAGGGTGGGGGAACATGTAACAGGTCAACTTACTTCTTCCTTACTCTATGAGATGGGGAAGATCAAGGGTAGCACAAATTTTCTCTGCTCAGTAAAATCTCTGCCTGTAAAGGATTGCAGGCTAACTGCCTTTTAATGATTCCAGAACTGCCCCCTATCTGAAGTATTCAGTTCCACTATTTTAGGTTACAAGTGAAAAAAACAAAAAACCTCTTCAGGTATTTATACAGAACATAACATTAAGAATACACTTTTAATTAAATATAAGTCAAATTACTCAGGTCTCTACAGATACAGAGCAGTAGGGAAAAAAATCTGATTCAATTGTTTGCAGGAAAATCCACAAACTGAATATAGGGTGTACTTTTAATTATTTGAGTAACGTTTAATGAATTGGAATGTATAGTAATTCTTGCTCACATCCAGTTACATTATATGAATCCATAATGCTAAATACTACATAGACTTGATATGCGTTACAGAGAACAGAGCCATCCAGCTGGCACATGGAAGTGACACACTAAACCAGGGTAAAAGTGCATGGAACAAGGGAATGTCTAAAGGGTGAAAGAATCTTTGTGGCTGAGACAGAAGCAAAGCCTGATGTAGAACACTGGGAGAAATGAAGACAGGGGTCAAAACCCCGTGACTCCAGGCCTTCAGAGTCTTGAGTGCAGCCTCCAGAGCTTTTCCAAATGTTCTTGCCAATCTGCACTTTTTAATATGACAGTAGAAAATGATTAAATACACAAGGGCCATCTTAGTTGTTAATGTAATTTTTCCTCAGTCCAGTTTCTGCCCTGGACATGCTACTCAAAGACCACTGGCTGAATAAACATTGCATTTCCTAATTTATGAGAACCATACAGTTTGAGGATGACACCGAGGTGTAAAAAATAAAAAGTGGCCATGTCGCCATACAAACTAGTGTGGAACCAGCCACTATGACAGATACCACTGATAATGTGCAATTAATTTTTTGAGACTACTATGGAGGGCACTAATGAGGATGCTGTTCGCCACTGCCTGACTTCCTACATTCAGTGGGCAGCTGCTGTGAAGTCTTAAATTATGAAGTCTTAAATGTCAGACTTGTCTTGGGGTGATAGAGGGTCAAGCTGGATGGGATGTTAATTGTGTGACAGCAATTAATGTGCTGCTTTAAAGAGCTATAAATAGAAGTTACAAGGGCATCCAGAGAAGTGGGGCTGCAGTGAGTGGCGAGGAAGAGTGGAAGCACTCTTCTCTTACTAAGATCCAGATGGAAATGGTCCCACTGAAGCTATCAGCATAGTGTTCATAGGTGCCAGTAGAAGCGGCCCATTTAGTGCAAATACATGTTTCAGTAGGGCAACTTTTAATGAAACACAACAAAGGGAAGCATTACAGGTAGTCCTCGACTTATGTCTACAATTGGGATCAGAATTTCCATCACTAAGTGATGCGGTTGTAAAGTGAGATGTCGTGTGACCACATTGCTTAGCAACCGCAATCCCGGCATTCCCCATTGCCATCATTAACTAAGAATCACAAGTCGTTAAGTGAGTACTCACCCCAATTCAAGCCATTCTGGGCTTGTCCCTCCCAGCCCCGAGCCTCAATAAGCTGTAAAAAAAAAAAAAAAAGCCAAAAGCCCAGCCTGGCCTGGCCCAGGAGCATGGTGCAAAAGGGCATTTTGGTGTGCTGTGACTCAAGGGCTGCTTTTGGCTTTTTTTTTTTTTTTTTCCATAGCTGAAGCCCAGCCCAGCCTGGGCCTGGACATGCCTCGTCAACGATGGGAGCAAGATGATGAAGGTCAGCTGGGGCGGCAGGGGTCTCGGAGTGCAGGGTGGCGAGGGCAACTGCGGCTGGGACTGGGCTGGGGCGGCTGCAGCTTCCTGAGGTATAGCAAGCAGCTCCACAGCTGCGCAGTTCTGGGGGTGCTTACCATGCCGCAAGGCAGGGTGCAGGGCGGCCAGAAGGGCAGAGATGTGGGGGAGATAGACAGGTGGGGGGAGTTGGAGGCAGTCCCTTACCTTACTGAGGTTCGGGGCTGGAGGGACCAAGGCCAGAATGGCTTGGATTGGGGTGGGAACATGGCGCAAAGGGGCATTTTGGCCTGCTGCGGCTCAGGGGCTGCTTTTGGCTTTTTTGACGGTGAAGGTCGGCTGGGGTGGTGGAGCGCAGGGTGGCAGGGGGGTAAAAAGGCATAGATGGGGGAGACAGCGGGTGGGAAGAGTTAAAGCACCTCTGCTGTCATAAGTGCGGGCAGGCTGCCAAGTGCCCGAATTTTGATCACATGACTGTGGGGGTGCTGCAACAGCCGTAACTTCGGGCACTGGTTGTAAGTCCCTTTTTTCAGCACGTTCATAACTTTGAACAATCACTGAACAAATAGTCATAAGTCGAGGACTACCTGTAATCCCCCTCTCTCGCCGCTCTTCTGCTACTCCACAACATTGCACTTTGTAATGAACCTCCTACAGCAGTGATGTCAAACTCAGTAGAAACCAGGACCACTACATGAAGATCCCTGTGGCTGCATATTGACTTAGAAAACCACACATTCCTTAAAAAATAATGTGACTGCGACAGGCTTATGACCTTGCTTCCCCTTTGGTTGTTAACTGAAATGATGCGGTCGTTAAGCAAAACATCACATGACCACGACTTATGATTTTACTTCCGCCTTTTTTTGTTTAATATATGATTTTTATTAAAGAAATTTTTAAAAGAATAAAAACAATACAAATTTTGAAAAAAAGAGTAAAGAAAGTAAAGAAAAGTAATAAGTAGATGAAAAAAAGGTGCAGAGAAAGAAAGAGAAAAGAAAGAAGGAAAAGAAAAAGTTATAAAGAAGCACTTCCAATCTTCTTACAGCAGTTACAAGTACATTTATATTTTACCCTCTATCTCTAAGGTTACAACATAATTTCCTTCTTTCCATAATCTACACTTTCTAATCATCAAACCCGTAAATCACAAGTTCATTTTTTTTCTTCTTCCAACAAAAAGACCATAAGGGATTTCCAGTCGCTAATAAATGTGGTTATTGTCCTTTCTCTAATCAGACAAGTCAATTTTGCCATCTCTGCTAATTCTGTCATCTTCCCCAGCCATTCCTCTATTATGGGCATTTCATAGTCTTTCCATTTTTATGTATATAATAGTCTTGCAGCAGTTATCATATACAAAAACAATCTTCCATAACTTTTCTAATTGTCTATCTATTAATCACAGCAAGAAAAGTTATGGTTTCAACTGAATATTAATCTTTAAAATTCTTTGTATCACTGTGTGTATTTGGACCCACGATTTTACTTCCGCCTTTTGTATTAACTCTGCTTGTGGCAAGCCAATTGTGAAGCATGCAAATGGAAATCACGTGACTGCAAGACATGGCAACAGTCATAAATGCAAGGATTGGTCGCAAAGTTAATTTTTTAGCACTGTCGTAACTTTGAACATTTGCTGCACGAGGCAGTCAGTAAGCGAGGACTATCTGTAGTTATAAAATGTAATATTATCTATGTTTTGTTGTGCTTTTATTTTATTTTCTTAAATATAACCCAACTGCATTTTAATCTGGTTTGGGCGGCAATCGGGAGTGTATATTTGACACCTCTGTCCTACAGTGTCAGTCCTTCAGAACCTGAATGCTAAAGGTCATGAAACAGGCCTATGTATTCTAGAAGTCCAAAAACGAAACTATAATTAATACCCAATCAATCTCTTCACTGAAGAATGGTGAGGCTAATGGCGTACAAGGCAATTAGACAATCGCTTGGTGTTTGATAGTTACTATTAGTAGTTTAAGGTTTACACAGATATATTAGGCAGTTAACAGTTTACTGAGAAAAAAGATGAAGACTGACTTACTGTGACGATTCCCACCAAGCAAATAAGGCTAGAGGCTTAAAGATGTTAACAATCTATAGGCTAATATGGAAATGTGGGACTGTAATATCTGATTATAATTACTGTATCTGAGGGACTGCCTCTCCCCGGTCCCATCAGGTCTGGCAGGAGGGTCATGTTCCTGTTGGCCAAGGAGCTTCGTTTGGCTGGAGCCAGGAGGAGAGTCTTCTCTGCTGTGGCATCCGCCCTCTGGAACATCATCCCCCACCCCCACCCCCAGGTGAGACTGGTCCTTAAAACCTGGTTTTGCCATCAGGTCCGGGGATTCGATGGAAGTGTAGAGCCCGGTAAAAGTCTGTATTGTGTGTAAAACTAAAATGCACTCTCCCCTGTCTTTTTGTTATTATAGTTTTTAACTGTTTTAACGGTATTTTAATGGTTTTAATTATGTTGATTGCTTGGCTTAGTGTTTTAATTGTGTGCATCACTCAGAGTCATAAACGTGAGATGGGCGGCTCTATAAATTGAATAAATAAATGAATAATGGTAGTCTGCCCTAGATTGGCTATAGGACCAGAGGCATCAAGGATGGGGGTGAGGATGTCAAAATGTTATACTGACATGATGCAGGCTTTGCCCCTTCTGTCTGTGCCTTGTGACTTCACGTGCATGTGCAAAAGGGGGGAGGGAGCGTGTATTGCAGCAGCACAAGGCTGCTTTTGTCATTTTGATGAAATTGCTAGAACCTGTGGGCACCTCTCTTTTGGACAAATAGCAAGGCAAGTGGATAAAGCAAGGGCAGGGTGGGGGTGGTTTGTTGAAGTTGATTTAGTGAGAAAAACGTACAAAAATGACATTCAGAGAAGAAGTTCTTAGTTTCTGGGAAAGAAAGTTACCTTTCCCATCCACTATCTTGTATATGATGGAAGTTGGTTCTCTTCCAACTAGCTGGGACCATTTTTCTATTTTTCTTGGGGAATTTGGCAAGAGGGAACAAAATGAAGTCCTCACCTCAGGATTTGGGAAGCTGATTATTAAATTGTCAAATAGGAAGGATAAGGAGATTCTTGAGCCCAATGAGTAGTCAGACAGGATCTGGTCAATGATCATCCTAAGCAGAGGACTTTTCTGAAGTGCTTTGATTTGGCAGAAGCAGCAGCAGCAGCAGCAGCAGCAGCAGCAGCAGCAGCAGCAGCAAGATATGATAGACTCTGACCACTGGAATTAGCAATCATACCAACGTCTGAAGATTTAGTCTGTACTTTGATATTCAAAAGACACGCAGTATAAAAGTCTTTGCTTAAATAGGAAGTAGCCGAGATCTTACTTGGTAAGTAGTTTTATAGCTCTTGCTCTTAAGCAATGCCTGCAATTTTGCAAGGGTTAACAGAGGAATGGAAGCATTCATAGCCATCATCAGGGCAACTTACAGACGCTCAGCATATTGCTTGGAACACGCCTTGCCTGAGTTTCAGTACTACAGGGTTTCTCCCGGGCTTTCGTCAAGCTGGAATGGAGCCTCTCCTTTCAGCTGCAGGCTAGAATGTGTGTGAACTTCCTAGCAATTCCCCCGTTGTTGGGGCGTAGGCATCTGCAATAAATCTGCAGCAGGGTGGTTGCCAGCTCTCCTACCTCCTCCTATAATTATCTGCATAGCCAATATTACCACAGTGGGGTAAAGTGCAATGCAGAAATTCCAACTGCAGTCAAGTATCTCACAAAAAAATGACTAGCAACTATTTCCTACCTTAGCTCACATATGATTGATTGGTAATTTGATGAGCTTAAGGGCAGCGAGAGAACAAACCCAAGAGACAGCAGCCACCGAGCCCCGTGCAGTGTTGGCCAGTGGTATTTAGAAAAGATACCATCGTAGCCCAGCCACTGCCTGAGAGTGGGTATAGGAAGAATGGAAACAGCAAAGAAGAGAAAGACCAGGGACTGGGCAATTAAGGAGAGTACCAAATTAAACTTCCTGGTAGAAATGGTATCTGGAGTAGAGTCTGCGGTTTGCTTAATGACTTTTCTGCTAGACTGGAACATAAGAGTGACTGGCAGAATTTTCTAGCCCCTTTTTTTCATTGTTGGTTTTGCCAGACAGATTTCAGAAGAGCTGCCCAGTTACTGCCAGACAGCTAGTATCATGGTTTTACTAAGGGCTGATAATGTGGAAAAGCATGTTTGTATATCCTTAGTCACATCCTTGCCTGAAAGTGTCAGGCCTGGGATCGCTTTGAGTATCATTTTTATTTCTCATTGCTGCCACCATTTTGTTGAGCTGGATGTCAACCCTCCAAGGTAGGCCGGACCAAGAAACAGATACCATGTAGGCCTAAAACTACTTCTATTAAGATTGGCTTTAGTAACAGAATGTTGCAAGTCTGAATGAGCTTCCCTCCTTCCCTTCCTCGGATCATGAACTAGGGGGTGCCTGAGATGTTTCCTCCCTCCTCGTCTGGGCCTCCGCAACGTTTATCTACTCGTTGCCTTGGCAACTGATCTTCCCTCTCTCCTTCAAGGTCACCCTCTACTCTAGCCGGGAGGTCATGGTAAGGGTTCTCCAAAGGAACCCTGCTTCCTACCAGCCCTTTTCCAGCACAGAAGGGTGCCAGCAAGTGAACTTTCTGCTGTGGGATTTCCGGTCTCATGGCATTAACCAGTACTGGAAGGAGATATGCATCCTCCGAACCAATTAAGGGTAAGTTTAGGGATGGGGACCAAATAAGGTGTGCAGGTATGTTATGAGTGTATGTCTACACACACGCACAAATAAAATGTGTTAATTGTATTCATTCAAGTAAGATAAAGATTAGTTTGGCCCAGAAACCAGGTGACTTTGGGCCAGTCCCTCTGTTTCAGCCCAACTCACCTCACAGGGTTGTTGTTGTGGGGAAAATAGGAGGAAGAAGGAGTATTAGGTATGTTCACCGCCTTGAGTTACTCACAAAAATAATAAAGATGGGATAAAAAAAAATGGAAATTTGGAAAAATAGTAGTTGGAGAGTTCCACGTATTTTATCAACATAATGAAGTCAATCTGTGACTTCAGCACTGGTAAGTATCACGCTGTTTTATGTTGATAATCCAGTTGTGAGTTCAGTCACTGCCCCTCCATTTTAGGAAGTCTGCCAAGTATACAATTTTAATTTGACTCTTAGAAATATCTCAAATGTTTCCCTCATTAAATAATTTTTCTCAAGGTATCTTTTAACTGCAGTGATAATTTATCCCCATAATTAGATGTAATAGGCTAGCAAATGAAGAACATACGGTTTGTTGGCTCAAAGGTTTAGTCCTGTATTCTGCTCCCACAACGGTCAACCAAATCCCAATGGGACATCCATGAGCACGATGTGAGTACAACAGCATCCTCCCACTCATTTCCCAGGCAACTGGTATCAAGACTCTGCCTCCAGTCCTGGCAATGTGTGTTCCAACCCCTGTAACTAGCAGCCACTGATTATCCATCTAGCATGTACTCACACTATAAAAGGACCATGCCCCAGAGCTGGAAGGATACCTTCACATTCAGGATCATGACTTCAAACAGCTTGTTTTCTCTGCAGTGCACACTACGTGCTCTTCCTAGCCAGAGTCCTGAAAAAAGCTCATTTTGTGCCTATGCACTTCAGTTAGCACAGAAGGGGTCAGTTGTAGCTCACTGTTGCTACAAAGCAGACTTTGGTCAGGATTGTGGCAGAGAAGAAAGCATAGTGTGTCTTGTTTTCTTTAAAGACTTTCCCAAAGCATTAAAAATCTAACTTTGCCCCATGCCAATCATAGCCCCTTGCTAATTTCATACTGAGGTTAGCTTTAACTTTTATTCTGTAGCTCACTTCTTTCATCCTCCCTGCTGGAACCAAAGTTGTTTCTGTCCCTTAAAGTAGCATCGTCAGCCCTAAGTTGCTAATCTATTTTCTCCTTTCTGAACTCTACAATAAATCAGAGGTAGACATGGATTTCAGTCCGTGGCCCTGAAGGATTGACTGGAGTGTGCCCATCATTTTTAAAATAATCTTTCCAGAAACAAGAGCAAAAGAAATGAGGAACTGGGTTGTAATAGAGAAATTAATCAACTTTTCCTCACTGATGTACTCAGAACACTTTGATTGTTGTGGCTATTCAAAGTGGGAATGGTATTGGTGAATGTTGGAGCAGCAGCTTAGTTGATCACTAGGAAGAAGGAGCCAACAGTTACTGAGGAGAAAGGACTGTACAATCTTTTTTGTTTTCCTTCCAACAGTCACATTCCCTCACATATGTGACAACCAGGGTAAAGCAAATAATGGTTAGTGGGACAGCTCTTTTGATATTTCCCTTTGTCTTTGACACTTCTGCTTCCCAAGCAACAGGCAGCTCAGGTCTGAACTGACACCTTGTATAGATTTGAAATTTGACCATGGGGTGCATATTGCCCACTCATTTTGAACATGAATTACTGAAGGGACAGCAGACTAAACTAGAAAGACTAATTGATAAAAGGTGAATAACTTGGCTGAGAGAAGAATAAAGCAATTAATCATAATCATAATCATTTTTATTCAGGTACAAAGACAGACAACATGAACATATCAAACAATTCCATCAACACAGAATACTCTGAATATCTAACAAGTCATCGGGGGGACTCATTCAAAAGATGTTATGCAGCTATTCCAATGGATTTTCTGTAGTTAAGATGGAAGAAATTCTGGGAAAACCTGGCTAATAAAAAGAAGAAAGTAGCATCTGGACTCCTGTAAAATTCTGTGAACTGCACCAGCAATTGTTTCCTCAATACAAACATCTAGCTTGTAGTCACATTGTGCAAAAAGGTAGAAATATGGGCAGAATAGTGTGATTTTCCCTCCATTTTGCTCTTTAAAACACGGGTGTGGCACACATGAGGCCCCTGGACACTCTTATTGCTTCCTGGGGACCTCCCAGGTACTCCATCTATTTTTTCCCAACATCAACAGTCATTGGCTCAGTTGGGGGAGAGAACCAGAAAACACTAGCCAGATTTCTGGGAAGGAGAATGAGGTAGGGATATGCAGAAAACATTAAGTGTTTCTGTTTCAAACTGGAAACATCACGTTTCAGAAGCTTTGCTGAGCTATTCCAGGAAGGCTGCAGTTTGGCAGAACTGAATCCTGGAGCATTTCAGTTGTTCTGGGTCTCAGTGAAAACAAAAAACATCTGGAGGTCTAGCTGGCATGCCTCTCTCCTCTTCTCTTGGCATGGCTTATGTGCCAGCCATCTCAGTGCCTTCCAGTGCCAAAGACATTGGTGGTGGCTAAGGGGAAGCAGGGAAAGAAGGGCCTTCATAAAATCAGAAGGGGAATGGGTGAGTTTGATAGTGGGCCACCAATATCCTTGGCTTGTTCGTGCTCTCCCCCACCCCGCTCAAAACACTTCTGTCCAGAATATATGTTTTCTTACATGCCAAAACCAAATACACATTTCAGTGCAAACATAAACCACTCCACAATTAGCTGTTCCATGCATGGAACAGTTTCTGCACATGACATTCTGCACATCCTAGAATGAAGTCTGTAAAAAGGAAGCAACGATATTCAACAGGATTGCTGAATGAAAGTTAATGGTTTCTCCTTCCCTGCCATCCAGCCTACTCAGAAAGTTTTCCATAGCCAGACTTCTTCATTGGTGCAGTCTACAAATATTGCAAATGATATTTCACAGTAACTTTTCTGTGAATGGGATGAAAGAAATGTTATTTCTCCACCAGCAACTCTACTTCAAAATGCTGAGTTAGGTCTTTTAGAGGAGGAAAGCCTCACTGGGAGAGAGGGATATCTATGCATCTATATTTATGTCTAGGACCTCTGGGCATGAAAATTTTGCCCATCTTTGCCTTAAAATGATTGGGATTATATTGATAGAACACTCTTCAAAAGTTGGGAATAATTTGTTAAGAGAAAAATGCAATACAATTCCTACTAGCTATAATAGTAGCTGCTTTCTTCAATCTCTCTAATATTAATGGTCATTATAAGCAGAGGTTGAAAAAAAATTCTTTGAGGCTGCTACACCTCAAAGAGTATTTATTTTGAATTTCAACATGTAGTGGGAAGGTCCTTTTTTCTATGGCAGAGACAGGGAATCCTATGGTGGGTATCTCTCCCTGTCTCTGCCATAGAAAAAAGGACCTTCACACCCTGCCCTGCCACTGCACAGGAAGGGCTTCAGAAGTTTTGAATGTGTTTCCAGTGGGAGGAGGTATCTCCTTTTCTATGTCCTCCTCAACTTTTGCAGGTTTTGAGGACAGGAGGAAAAATTACGTGTTTTATGCTTTGTTGATGGTACGGGGACAACTAGATACAGCCCAAGTTTCCTCTTACTCTCTTTAACTCAGTTTCCAGGAACTGCTTTCAGCTGGACATTATTTTGTTGTTGGATAATTCATACATATTATAATTATGCAAACTACACAAGTACAAAATTTCAATGAAAAAAAGAAATCTATTAATTAATGTTTCAATATTTATATTATGCAAGTTATCAATTCAACTGAATGTGTTGTTGAAAATATCATTTTAACATAGGCAATTACTCATATGCTTTTTATCCTTTTTTGAATAAAATGTCCATTTGGATCATCTTGATTTCCATTACTGTACTTATTCTTCTGTCTGAATTTTTAAAAGGATGGATGGTGTTTTTCATTTGATGCAACTAAATTGTTACTCTGCACCACTGCCAAGTATTCAGCTGTCTCCCTTTTCATTTGCAAACTCTTTAATCTAAGCTGCACACTGAATCAGTTTTGATTAGCTTCTATTACTTGTTGACCTTACTGTGAAACATATTTCTATTATCTGAATTGTGATTCTTTCAGTTGAACAAATGGATCATGTGATCTTATTTCTAAATTCATTTTAAGACAAACATTTAAATAATTCTCATTAAGTAAATGTACTTTGATATTGTAATGAAGTAACCTTTGAAACCATTTCTGAACATTGTAATAGTAGTTATTTATTTTAACAACAAGGATCGGTCCCCACATTCCCGTCTTCCTTAACCAATTTGGTCAATGAAATGCATATTGCACGATGTGGTATTTATCTGACATATTTGGCAGCACTCTAAATGGACAGTGTTCCTTCAGCCTCACTTTCTAAAGACATTTCTTCAAGATCTGCATATAAAAAAGGCAGACATTACTTCACACTGAAATAATTTATGATGGTGAGAGAAGTAGGAGAGCAGAAAAAATGTGGGAACATTGAAAGGAATAAAGTAATAAAGGTCTGAGAAGCGCTGGGGTGGTTTGGTAGCCTGAGGATGCTCTCTCCATCTTTTGAGTTTGCATTGTAGTTTTAACTTTTTAGCTTAATTTTAATCTTTTATAGTTTTTAATCTGTATATTTTTTCTAAGATTTTATAGTTTTTTACATCTAATGCACCTAGAGTCACATGTACAGTGAGATGGGTGGCATATATAAATCTGATAAACAAACAAACAAACATCTACATAAACTACCACAAAGGATTATTTGAAACAAAAATGTCTCCATGCTACAACCTCCTGAGATCACAGAATGGCCTCCAACCTTGGAGGGAAAATCCACTACTGTATTACCCTTCAGAGTTTCCTCTATGGCTGATGCTTTCAAGTCAGAAAATCCCAACTTTGGAAAGCTACAATATGAGCTGACAGATCATCTTCAGCGTCCTCAGCCCTATTTAGATCTGGCATCTGCATGTGGTGCCCAAGGGTGCCAATATACTTAGTCACTTCTCCTTTGGCTTCCCAGCCCTGGGTTTTTACATTAAAAGCAAACATTTTAATTTAAAAAAAAAGGAATATAGAAATGGACAGCTGTACCTGTATTTTGTTTAGAAATGTGCCCATCTCCCAAAAAAAGAAATAAGCAAGAATAGTAAGGAGCATCCTAGGGCATGGGTGTAGGATGCTAGAGGAGTTAGTAGTTAGTACTCTGATAAATTGGTTCACTCTAATTGGGTATATCCCAAATAGCAACCATTTGTGAATGGGCAACCTACTCCAGCAGGATGACCATATATTCTCAAATTATTAAATGGCTTCCAAGACCCAAAAGGCTGGGGTTCCTGATTTCAACCACTGAGAATGTTCTCAATATATTTTCCTTCACTGGATGCATAGGGAGGGAAATATTAAATTTTTTTTTAAAAAAATCAGATAAATTACACAAAAAAGCTTTCCAACAATCTTGTTTCTGGCTTACCAGTCTGCAACCAACCAGGATTTGAGGCTTGGTAGAATTTTGAATTAAACAAGAGTTCTTCCTCAACTCCTTGCAGTATGCTCATCAGACTGATTCTGTCTTTCAGAGCTGTGGGCTAAACTTGTACCTTTTTAATTTCTTTAGTTACTGTGCTATGTGTGATAGCAGACATATAAAGAACGATTCAGTTCTAATGCAACAATTTTAATTCATCTTTACTTTCTCTATGTGGAACAGTGTTTCTCAACTTCAGCAACTTTTAAGATGTGTGGACTGCTGTCTGGGGAATTCTGGGAGTTGAAGTGCACATATCTTTAAAGTTGCTGAGGCTAAGAAACACTGATGTACAGGTAGTCTCCAATTAAAGAAAGAGTTTCATTCCCAAGGTCTGTCGTTAAGTTAAATTTGTTTGTAAGTCAGAACAGTATTATTGTATAATGCTGTATAAGTAGTATTTTGGAATGAACTTGAACCATTGTGTATTTAACTTGAATTTTGCTACAACAGGCTCTGTTCTTAACTATGGGTCATCCATAAACCAGGTGTTCTTAACCCGGGGACTACTTGTAGAGGATATTCTACATAAAGTAACCTAAAAACATTTATCTAGCTTTGTAACCTTATGTTCATAATTGAGTTCTATATATTTTGGGGTCAGTCATATATTATTGACTGACACATGATATTATTAGGGTTATTTGTCCTCATTTACTCCTTTGGATGGTACCAATCACTATATTTTTTTTATTTGTAGCAGCTGGACAAATGTATACATTTTAGTTTCCTAACCTGAATCCATCCTAATTTTTTTCAAGCATAGATTTGATTCCAAAAAAAGATTTCTCCATTTTATAAAGAAAGGATTGAGGAATTATGTTTATATTATGTAATGTTTAGATAAATTAGAATAATTTGCGTGGGATTATGACTACTTTGACCATTAACTATAACTCACATATGGAAGAATGCTTTATGAGGTTATTTTGTTTAACAAGGGGGGATACATAAGAAGTTGCAAGCACAAAATGACAGTGGAAGTGTTTATTACATCCAACACCTGAAGCTGTCCTCTTCTGAAATTTAATTATAAGAACAATTGCTAAATATTAATTTGTGTTAACCAAAATACCTAATGATGTAAAACAAAAGTACTTACAAATAAATACAAGTAAATGTGTTGTTATCATCAATCTATTTCAGGGTTTTAGCTCTACCCACAAAAATCAGCCAATAGAAAATTCAATCAGAATTTTACAGCTGCATAAACTGAAATGGCTCAAGAAGGCATTTAGATCAACACAAAAATTTGGCCAGCTACAAATGGAGACTGGAAAAACAGAAAACTCTTCTATACTAAGTTTGCCTATCTCCCAGTTTTTATGGCAAAAAATACCTAACGCAGGTGATAAGGCACCCTTGTTATTTCCAATAAATGAATAGGACATATCCAATTTATTCCTGCCACATAATCCATCAGTTAGGTAAACTAATCTTATGCATACAGTACTATCAGTATATCCTAATTTTATTGCATGCTGTATGTTGGTATTTCCTCAAACAAAAACATACCTGCTGTGATCCTATGCATTTAAAAGAACAAAGGATGTAATCTGAAACCAACATAGCAGGAAATTAACACCTCAAAAAGATGGGTCTTTCTTTCAAGTAAACAGGTTTAGAATTAGACTATGACCCATATAATTCTGAGTAAACAGCTCAATACCACATTGCAGATTGAGATTTCAGTGTTAACTCCAAGTGAAGTTCAGCAAGATTCATTAACTAAAAAAAATACCTAAAATGAATGTTGTGGTACTGTATAATATTTTGTAAAGGTGGGAAATAATTGTGATCTCTATCAATTGAAAAAACCAAAGTAGATATAAAAATGTAATTTCAGCAAAGGTTTCATAAAACTGATTTTCACTTCACTGGAGAATTAGCCCCAGATCAATTAGAACCAATGGTTATTTCTCCACAGATTTCAGTGAGGTGTAATTGCTTCCCAGAGGAACAATTCAGAAGTATTAATCCCAATGGAAGTTTTGCCATTCGGCATAATGTGAATTAGGACTTTTGTTTTTTAAGCTAGTTCTTCTAAATAAGCTAATTTTACAAGGATCTAACAGTGGCACATAGCTCTGAAAATCTGAGGCGTTATTTTAAAAAGCAATGGCTAAAAAAGGATGGAAGGGCCAGCCCCGTTACAGAATACGCAGAGAGAAACCGACCCCCTGGGGCCTCAGTCAGGGGCAGATCTTGGGCCCAAAACGCGCCGTCTGACGTTTTAACAGGGAGGTTTGGGTTTGTGCCTGCCTCTGCGTGTCCCTTCTACCGCTCAATGGCTGCCCCGCCTCCACATTTTCCCTCCGCTGTCCGCCGTCACGAGCCATTAAGGGGCAGCCGGGATGAGAGTGGTTTCCAATCTCTCCCCGCGCGCTGAACGTGGATACGACTCGCCGAAAAGCCAGGCGCTCCTGGCCCTTCCACAGGGCAAGGGAGAAATGCGCGGCGGACGGAGCAAGCGCAGGGCCTCCGCCCGTAACTGGACACTCGGCATCGACCCTACGGCCTGTTTCGGAGGGAAGCGGGCCCGCCAGGGCCGTTCCTGCCCACCCAGCGGCCTCGTTTGCCCGCAACGCGGATGCCTCTGAGCAGGCCGCGCTCATTGTCTCTCACACAACCCCTGGCCACCAG